ATTTCCTCACTCCCCACAGACCGTGTCCGCTCCGAAGACAGAGAATTTGGACTTACCATCTCGGTTCCCTCCTTCAAACGTTCCGCCGTTACATCTGTTGGAACTTCAATTAGTACTGCCGAAGGTCCTTCGATCACCACAGGCTGTGTTGACTTGCCAACTGCAACTTCGGGTGTACTCACAATTGGGGCAATTGTCTTCTCCACGCTACTATCCGATACTTCGGTTACCACCAATCCTCGACTCGCCTTCCTCTTTGATCTCGTGCAAGTTCTCGACTGCTTGATTACTTCTACCTCTGTTTGCGCCCTTCTGACCCCTAGCGTCAAATCTTCCTCGTCATCTGTCACCACCTTCCGCCTCTTTGCCAATCGCCATTTTGGCTTCTCGCGATTTGGCAGAACGTCCACTTGAACGGGTCCTTGTGCTGTCATCTGTGGTGGAATTGAAGGTCGACTGGTATCGTCTTTGGTGACTTTACTAGACTCGGCTGTCAAGATTTTCCGTTCCCTCAAAAATCGCTTCTCTTCCTCCCTCGTAAGCAATCCCATCGGTAGTTCATCATGGTTCTAGAAGACTAAGAATACTCCTCATACTCATGGCCCAATCATCCTCTCACATAATCTCTCAAGGTACCACTCCAACTCACATACACATCAACACTACAAGGTACTGAAAATTTGTCACTCTTTCATATATGAAACAAGTCTCTACATATGATCTCTCCAAACTTGCTTGGAAGGCTCTTCCCTACCTCTCTATATATACTACTTGATAATTTACCATAGTAACAAATGGTAATTCCTATCTAACTTACTTTTACAAAGATAAACCATATTAAGGTTGACTAGTTATCAATATGTGGCAACATGCCATTGGCCTTTTAAACCTTCTAGATGTTTACTAATCCCTAGATTGAGGTGGCGACATGCCATTTGTGCCTTTCCAACTTCTAGAATCTCCACTTTCCACTAAGTCAATATTAGACTTAGTCTAACCAATGGAGTACTTCTTACTTTAGTCAAACCAATCAAAACTAAACATGAAGTCCAAAAGTCTTTTCTCTTGGAATCTAGACTTTTGTACAATACAAAATAGAAGTGCTCACTCAAATCTTCTAGAACTTCTCTAATTATTCCGCCAAGTATAGACATTATAGCTAAACTAGCTAGACTTAGTCATAAATAGCTGATTTAGTCATGACCATTCTAACCATGATCAACTCCTTGGCTAATTCTAGTTCTAGTTCACACATACAACATCAGGTCTTATAGGTACTAATCCAAAGGAAAGGATCGGGAAGACTCAAGTAGCAATATGAGGTACAAAGACCTAGCTTTTCCAAATACCTAGTAAGGTATTCGGACAGGGGTATTCGGTGTTCAGAGATGATGACCTCGGAGTTCCCTCGGGGACCCAAGCGACGAAGGATCCCAAGGGAAGTAAAAGATAGCGCTGCACAGGAAAGAAGTTTGAATGGCGTGACCTTCAATTTGCACGAGTTGGGCAGATTGTTGCAATAGTGGGGTACACCCTCGGGTGTACCCCGGGAAGCGAGTTGGTTTCCACATTCCACAAACTCATTATTGCAATTAATGGGAGACTAGGGTGCGGAAACTCAAACAAGAGGAAGCAACTATGGCGCGTTCGATTTGATTGACCGCTTTGAAAGTTCCTAAGGCAGGATTGAGAGCTTATCATTGTAACTTGATCCTTGTGAAGATGGACTTTTTGCTATGGGGCTGGAATTGGCCGAGCGCAGCGATAGTGCAACGAGCGGAAACAACGGTGGTTTACCGAAGCCACCAGGCTATCGAGGAAATCCCGAGACTTGGCAAATTTGGCATTGGAAGAAAGTCTTGGCACGCTGAGCAGGTGACGATGGCAACCTTACCTTCGAGAGTGAGAGTGTCAAGGTAACACGAGAGGAGGAAAAGTCCTACGCAGCTTTGTTCAAGCACCTGCGCACCGGCAAGAATGGATATCGGACCATTTGGTATCACGATTGGTTCAGGACAAATGTGGCGATGACGTTAATGCAGATGCTTCGACCTACTCAAACCACTTAAATGATGACTTGGCACATTGAGTTTGTGGAAAAAGCATTGCGAGGAGATCGTATTCATTAGGTGCACATCTTCTGCACTGCTACTCGGCAACACATCGAGCTACTTCCAAGAGGATCAACCTATTACTTGTCCCCGTTCTTGATTAATTTCTATAGGGGTATGAGGTTGTTAACTAGTGAAGAGAGTAGGGAGTTCCCGATGCGAAATCATGCGCAGGAAGGAGAAGAGGTTGTGAGTGCCAATGAGGTCAATACCGATCTAGAGGACAAGCAAATTAGTTTGCCTCCGCAGAGAATAGAACGACCTAGGGGTAGACAAGAATCATGACCACGGAAGAGAAGGAGGACTAAAGAGGTCGCTGTGTCTGAAGAACGTGTACGCCGGGCAGCTTCCATCAAGTTGAGATCACCCAATTCTTGGGCCAGGTCGAAGATGAAAGCAAGACGATAGATACTGGAAGCGGACAGCAACACGGAGAGTAGGGCTACTGCATCGCGAGGGCGTTCCACTCTAGAAGCGGGAGCAGAGTTGAATAGGATGAGAGAGAAGGAAGCATTAATGGAGAAGGACCTTTAGACTTTTGCGGTAAGCCCTACGCCAGTAGTGTCAAGCCGGGCTACAAGAAAAGAGAAAGTTAAAGCTATCATGACGGAGGAAGTACCTCCGGGACAAGATAAGGTTCCTTCAGAGGGTATTAGGATGAAGGCCCCTTTGGAGAGGCCAACTTAAGTGTTGGCAGTATCATCGGACATTGAGGAAGACCTTGTGGTCCTAGAGAAAGTTGCTGAGAGGTTCGTAGAAGATGTTGTAGGAGAAGCGTTTGCACCACAGAAGGTGCTGTCACCACGGACGTCCACCAGGACAGTCATATTAAAGCCGGGCGGACATCCTTTGGTGGAGGAGACACAGTCGCAAGTACTCATTGCCGCTGACGTTCTGTGTGGGCAAGTGCGTCTGTTACTCCAGTATCTCGACCGCAAGCGTGGGAAGTATGCAGGAACTACCACCAATGGATCTTACGTGGAGCTAGTGCGTAATAGGATGCGTGCAAAGATGGCAGCAACTTCCGCAGCTGCAGCGAAGGAAAGGCAGACCCAGGAGACAGAGGCGAAGTACGAGGTACTTCAGAAAAGATTCGCCGAGGAAGTAAAAAAGCGAAGGTATTTGGAAAATACCTGTGAAGGTTTTTGTGAGGATATTAAGAATGCCAAGTGTGCGACAATAGATCTCCAAAATATGCTAGAGGCATCTCGGACCGCCTATAACGCCGAATCGCAAAGGGTTGACGAACTGACGGCAAAATCGGAGAAGAAAGAATAGGAGCATGCAGCCAAGCTGGCAACGAAGATGATGGATCTGGCAAAGTGCTAAGCTGTTAGGATCCCAGACTTGGAATTGATAGAGAAGATGGAGGCTCAGTGTAGTGAGTTGAGATTTCAACGGACGCAAGCCAAGGAGTAGCTATGCGAGATGCAGACGAGATTGTTGGAGGCAAAAGAGAAGAACTGACAGTTATTAGAGCAGACGCCTTGACGAATGACGCCTTGACCATGAGATTGAACCGGTGCCTGCGAGGATTTGTATTATGGCAGGTCGAGTCGCATAAATGGTTGCAGTTACGAGATTTTGAGCGCTGTGCGACGGCAATGATAGCGAGTAGTGTTAGTGGGCAGCGCCGGTTAGACAAGAAGTTTGACGCCTTTCTTACAAGTTTGCGCGACGCGGTGTTGAACTTAGAGTTGGAGCTGGTGGATGTTTTGCAAAGGTTAGGTTTAGATTGGAAGTTGGACGAGAAGGCAACGGCCAACTCTGCGAATGTTATGCATGTTTGGAGCTCGCATCAGAGCGAGTGATAGTGATAGCTCAAAGTTAGTTAGAAATAAAGGGGTCCAAGGCATTGGCCTTGAGGAACTTTTTTTGATTTTAGTTTTCTAAGTTTTAAAGTCTTCATTCTCCGCGCGTATGTGTATTGAGTGTTTTGTCACCGTGCGAGAGGTACTTTGGTTTGTCAAAGATACCGCATCCAAGGTAGTAACCCAATTCGAATGTTCCGAATAGCAATTAGCTAGAATAAGAATTTAAGCAAGTTTGCAATTGATAGCTGCGTGTAGATCCTAAGTGTACTCTTTGGGAATTTTTCCCCCTGAATCCTAAAACAAGGTCGTGATTGACCTTTGTGATGCTACATTTGAGAATCTTAAGAGTGATGTGTGTATTACGCTACATTGTGTGTCCTTTGAGATGAACACCTGTAGTACTTCTGGGAGTGATAGTGGCCTGAGAACTCAAACTCCTCAATAGACTATTAAATACGTGACACTTGGTACTCTTTATGCTGTTTATGTCCTCGAGGGATTGGATCTTTACCATTATGCTCCATTTTGGTATTTATCTGTCATTACATAGATAGTTTTCTTTTGGCGCCGCTGCCAGCGACACAGTGTCAACACAAGAATGTGCGTGTAGAGATGCACGATGAATGTCAACCGAAGATGATTCTAACGAGATAAGTGAACGAGTTGCGAGATATCTCCGTCGACGTGATAAGAAGGCAATTCTACCTGAATCCGTACCTGAAGTAGAACAAAGAAAAGCAAAGGGGAAAGGGAAGAAGCAAGAACCTCTTCTCCCGGTAACTGCACCTCCTCAGGCGATTTGAATAGCAACATCAGTACCACGCGAGGCTTCTGTTTGGAAGAAATTGGCTACGACACCGATCAACGCGTATCTCCAACCCCTTGAAAAAATGCCTACTTCAGCTGGTGCAGATGCGCCTCGGATTACACCACTCCTTATTTTCTGCTACACGATAGCAATTTCGTTTTCCACGGGATGATGGATTTGAGGACAAATGATTTTGGACGAGGACAAACGGTGGTGCAAGCCCTCTGTGGAAAGTGAATTCCACTGGTAACCGGCCAAACAAGTATTTCTGGCAAAAAAATTTAAAAAAATGAAGTTTTCTTTTATAGCTACAGTAAGTTTGTAGGTTAGAAAGTAATAACTAGGGATAAGAAGGGCTGACGAGGTCCGGCTGTGAAGGAGGAGGAGGAAGCGCAGGAGGAGCAAAGAAATCATGGTGGCAGTTGTGCGTGTGCGTTTGAGCGGATGGCGATGACGATGGGGTCGTGAGGGAATAGGGTTCGCGAGGACGTGGACGAGCGCGTAGGATTTGTGGAGTCGGGTCTGCGGAAGACGGCGAAGGCGCGTCGGCAAGATGTATAATGGGATAGGGCTCTAGACTCCTCGAGGATCGGGTACCAATGGGTACATTCAGACGAACAAGTTTTTTGTGAAATCGAGGCCTCTGAAGTCGGAGGCGCGGGAATTTCAAAATGGCCAGGGTCAGGGAGGGGTGTCGCGGAAGGCGAATAAGGAAATTTTGGAGCACGATCGGAAGAGGCAGATCGAGCTCAAGCTCACGCAGCTCGAGGATGAATTGCTTGAGCAGGGATTTTCTCTCGAGGATGTTGCCGAGAGGGTTGAATCCTCCAGAAAAGTTCTTGAGTCTTTCAGCTCCGAGAATGATACCACTACTACCTCGACAAGGGTGTCCGACACACAGACTCACCAAATCGCTGCACGAAAGGAAAAGCAATTAGACGTTATGAAAGCCGCCCTAGGTCTTGACGATATCAAGGAAGGCGAAGCGTTTGATCGGGAATTGCAGGAGCAGCGAAAACAAGAACGAGTAATCGCTCGAGAAGATAAAGAAAGGGAACGGAAGGAGAAGCTACTCGAGGCTAACGGTGGAAGGATATCTCCCTCCGAAGAGCTGAAACTGACCTTGTGTAGAGATCGAGTCGACACCGAGTCCTCGGAAGCAACTTACGTGAGCACGGATAATCTTAGGGCCAGCGGAAGCGTATCTTTTGAGGTTTATGATAGAGAGCAGCTGCTTCTTTGTGGCAACTGAGAACGGTCAGACCCGAAGATTGACACCGATGGCGACGACCGCGATAGGTCGATGAGCACGCTCTCCAAGAGCATAAAACTCGGCTGGAAGATGGATCTCAATTGTGCAGTTACATCTTCCGGTTGCTCGTTTTTGAAAGGCAGACAGGAGTTTTCCACGGCCAATCTGAGCCCCCCGACGATGGAAGTGTGCGTGGTTGGTCGGTATTCGGCCTTACCCGTCATCCTAACTGAGGTTGTCCAGTTGACTGTACGAAGAAAAATGGTTCGGCGGAATACTTTGGATTCCATTGTCGAAGGAGAAGAAGGCGAAAGAATTCCTAGTGATCTTCTGCTGGCTGGCCAACCCGAACAGGTCTCAAGAGATGAGGGAAGCTACAATTTTGCCGACAAGGCGCTGGCTAGATTTGGAAGCTTTGACCCCAATGGGTACGGTGAAGGAGGTGAAGCGGATTCCTGGTTCGGTACATGTGTCAGAGTCGGAGTTGGCATCGGTTTGGGGATGTGCTTGGGAGTTGGCATAGGGGTCAGTTTACTCGTTCGCACCTACCGAGCCACTACTAGATCTTTCAGGAGAAAACTCTTTTAGCCTCCCCTATGATCAGCTCTTTATGGGTTGAATGAAGAGGCACTTGTGCATCCCCTATCCAGTTTTACTCGGTGCAGATTATTTCATATCGGATACACTTGTCAAGCAGGTTGCTCGGCAAAATAGCCCTTATCCTACTGCTCAACTTGCAGTGGTAGGCCGGCAGAAAACATGATTGGTGGTTAGAATTGCTATTGAAATCTAATCTTACCACCGCCAGGAACATCTTATCAACGACATGAAGGAGAGGTATCCATTAGAGGCTAATGAAGCCTTCGCGCGTTCTACTCAGTTTGATAGTCAGTTGGATTTACTAGAGATAGAGTTATAGGCTGGGGTACAGGACGGTCTTAATAAGTCTGCGTGAAGCAAGTGTTTTGCTTACACCGATCTTGTAATGCAAACTTGGAGTGGGCCCTGGACGTAATGGACCTCTCTTACGTTAGGCTTGATGGAAGTACGCAGGTAAGAGATCGTCAGGAGATTGTGGACTCCTTTAACAACGATCCTGAAATTTTTGCTTTTCTCCTATCAACCAGGGAGGGGGGGGGGGTGGGGGTCAAGGTTTGAACTTGACTTGGCTCCCGTCAAGTTTATAAGTTTACATTATAATTCGTGATGTCAATTTCAATTCCCAAATGGATAGGCAGGCAGGAAGATAAGTAGATGTTTGCTAGCTGAGATGAAGGATGAGGAGAGGTGGCAGTTGTATGTTCGATGCCAGCCAGGTAGCCACCATTCTTGAGGTTAGGTCCCCGTGTTTGACGTAGTGTGGAAGCGCCGAGCCTACATGCCAGCCGTTCGCTCACCGCGAGAGCAGTTTTGGGCAGATCACCGACCGCCCGCCGAGCTCTAGAAGCAGACTCCCAAACCCGATCCTCACAACCAATGCTTTTCCCTAAATTACAGATCTGTTTCGCTAACTTCCCTTACCTACATTTTTTCGACTAGAGGCAGTTCACCTTGGAGACCTGATGCGCTTTTGAGCACCGACCGTAGAAGGAGGAGCATCTTGGTTCACAAGGGGCCAGATGAGCAGGCTCCTACAGAGTTTCCATGATGTCCGGCAGAGCTCACGGTTCGAGTAATTCTAGGAGTAGGTTAGCTCCCGGATAGTATGGCAGCGATTAACGATGGGGCTTATGAGCACCCGACTGCTAATCCGGAAAGTTAGCGGCGGCCACTAGAAATAAGAGTCAGCCACCGGTCCGGAATTGACGGGCTTTTAGTTAGTCACTTGTGGGAGATAGTATTTAAACCTCGGTTTTTCTCAAGGCGAGGGCCTCTTTTTGTACTCCGTTTTGAGTTGTTCCATTGAGAACATACATATAGCTCTTATATGTGGACGGTTGTTGAAACAGGCCTAGGGATTGTTGTCTTGAGTAGATATTCGGGAAGAGTGTTGAACAGTATGAGAATCTAGTGGAGTGCCCGGAGTGAGTGGAAAAGGGTCAGGCGTAGAGTGTTGACAGTTTCCATCGTCTGGAAGAGCCTAGAGGGGAGGGAAGACTTACGGCAGCATAGGCTGGTAGTCTTCAAGACACGAGCGTTGTTTGTAGACCGGATTCCTTCATAGAGTCGGTCACTTTCTGATGCTAGGATTAAAGCCAGGTCACTAACTGCGAACCAGTCCAGAAGTGAGAGACGACGTCAGATTTGGTGTTGGTATTATACCTATGGTGTTGATCTTCGTATTATACGATCTACATATTGGTGTTGATCTTCGTTCCCACGAAGATCTAGAAACTGTAGATCTTCGTGGGAACGAACGCGGAGTGGTTTACTTTGGGAAATGTTTAGTGTAAACTAAGTCGTCTCCGAAGGAATACTCATACCACGTCGTGCTACATATGATTTTTGGCGCCGCTGCCGGGGATCTATATGATTTTCTCCCATACAGACAAGAAAACTATTCATCAGTCGCTCTAAGTTGGGATCAGGTTGTAAAACCGTATGAATCCGAACTCTAAAGAGACGGAAGGTTTGAGAAGGTCTAGTAGGAAGAAGAAGGGAGAACAGGAGCAGGAGGCCCGGCCTTCCGCCACTACTAGAGTAGAATTTACAGAAGAAGTAGATCAAGAGATAGCTGGGACTTCCGGATCAGGGGAGCAAGCTGGGACGCTCCCACCGGGGCCGGAGACTGGACAGGAGGTTGAGGAAGTTCCCATGGCTCGGACATCTTCAAGGCTGAAGTATCGGAAGTTCCGAGGAGATTGTCGGGAGGACGTGGACGAATGGTTGAATGAGTTCAATGCCACAGCCGCCGCTAATTAAGAGGATGAAGTGGTGAAACTCCGGCTCTTCCAAGGATTGTTGAAGAAAGAAGCGCTCCAGTGGTACCAGGAGGAACCGGAGAACGTAAGGGAGAATTGGAGGGCGTTAACCATTGCCTTTCGGAGGACCTTTCGGGAAGTAGGAGGCAAGGCCCGGACATTGGGAAAACTAAGCAAAATGAAGATGGAACCAGACGAGTCGGTATGCAGGTATGGACAGCGGGTGAGAAGTTTGATTCATAAGTTAAGTCCCGAAATTGCGGCAAGCATCCAAGTGGAATGGTATGTTGCTGGTTTACCGGATCAGATGGCTTTTCAGGTGCGTCAAGCCAGGCCTCAGACATTACAGGAAGCCATGGAGGCTGCCCAAAACTATGAGAACTCCAAACAGTCCATACGGCAGTATAGAAGGTCTGGGAAGAGTTCGAGACGTTATCGGAAGAAACATCAAAATCGGAATTTAAGTTCGGACTCCAGCAATTCCAGCTCGGAAGAAAGTTCGGAAACGGACGGAAGTGACAGCGAAGATGGACGCTCCACCCGTAAGCCGGCAGGAAGCAAGGGTTATCGGAAAGAGAAGGAACGGACGATAGTTAAGGTCAAAGAGGAGTATCCGTCAGAGAAACGGATGATCAAGGACCTGGTTAGCAGCATTGAAGAACTCAAGGTCCAAATGGTAGAAGAGAAGAAGGCAAGAAAGGCACTCCCAACCCTTCGTAACAACGTCTGGTGTACCAAGTGTGGTGAAGCCGGACACTACAATAGGGAATGTCCACACGGACCCACAAAACGAGTTCAGTTCGTAGATGAAGAAGGCTTGGTGTTTTTTGCGGAAGCCGGATATGAAAAGGAGGAGTTGGGGATGTTACCGGTGTATCAGGTGACCCCGGCTTATGGACGAGGACGGATGTTGCAACCAATGATAAGACCGCGACCGGGAATGGGCTTTCCTGCATAAGGACATCAAACGGCACCCAACCAGGTACGGCCGCCAGTTTCCATAGAGCGACAATTCGGATGCTGTTTTATCTGTGGAGAAACCGGACATTACGCCAACAGGGCAAGGGGCGCCGTTGGAACTTCCGTGCCAGAACTGTAGACAATATGGACATACAGCTTCCCAATGCCAACAGCCGGTCCGACCAAGAGTGGTTTACAAACAAGTGGAGGAACCCCCCCCCCCCCCCCCCCGTGAAAGGACCGGACTCAATTACGGCCACAAGGACGGAGTAGAAAATCCTGTGAATTGACGGTTACCGGTGGAGCTGCGAGAGAAAACCAACATAGACATACACCAGGTCAGTTTACGTAGCTCCACCCGAAAATCTGATATGGATCGAAGGAAGAGAAACTCCGGAGTTAGAACTAGATCTCAAAGGAAGAACAGGAGCTAGTCAGAATCCTCCAAAACCTCCGAAAGTTCAGAGGCTGAGGTTCCTCCGGAAGCAGCTCCGGCTGAAAAAGGGGTCGAGCCATTGCCCACAATGCCAGATATCGGTCCGGAGATTATTTCGGAGCTCCATCAAGGACAAGAACGGAAGGTTAGGTTCAGTGAGACTCTAGAGTTCATCCGACCGGAAATCAGGGCCAAGGTAGACGAGTATGATATCCTCCGCGATATTCAGGCACAACTAGCGAATGTGACCATTGGCCAACTATTACACGATAATCCCAATTATCAAAAACAGGTCAAGTCAGGTCTGATCCGGGCCAGGAAACGGATGGTCTGACTGCCATCCGTCGCAATCAACTTCGCCGAGATAGAAGACTTTGGTGCACCGGAAATTTCTGTAGAGATTGATGGGTGTGTCATTCAGAAGGTACTTGTAGATGGAGGTTCAGGAGTAATTCTCCTCCTTGAAAGCACGGCTAATGATCTAGGCTATACGGTGTTCGAACCAACTAACCAAACACTACGGATGGCCGACCAGTCTTGAGTAGTTCCGGTGGGTAAACTTTCGGCAGTACCCACTAAGATTTCTGGGTTAACCTACCCGCTGAACTATTTGGTGATTAGGGTGGAAGAGGGCAATCCTTTTCCTCTGTTGTTAGGACAGCCGTGGCTGTACCTGGCCGGAGTCAAAGTGAACTGGGCAAAGATGGCCTTCTCTTTTGGAGACTCGGCCGTACTTCTCTCTTGGAAACCGGAACCTCATCTTGGGGAAACTAGCGAGATGGACGGATACACCTCAGACTGGACAGAATCAGACAATTCAGAATCGTTACAGTCCTATCAGGTACAAGAGTTCAAGGAGGTATCCGAAGAGGATTTGGGATTCGTCAATCCAGTTCTGGAGCAGGAGTTGGATGACACTGAGTTGCCAAATCGATCCCAGGACAAGAGTTCAAGGAGGAATCCGAAGAGGATTTGGGATTCGTCAATCCAGTTCTGGAGCAGGAGTTGGATGACACTGAGTTGCCAAATCGACCCCAGGACGTGGAGAAGATAGAAGACCGATCGTTGGGAGAATCGAGTGTCAAGCTATCCTCGGAATGGATTAGGGAGTAGTTTGCTTCCGGTGCAGTCCGAACTGGGTCATCTGGATCACAGACAGTCGATCTCCCTTGGGCTGCACTACCGGAATCAATAGGAACGGATGCCACCGAACCAGTAAAGAACATTGTAGCACCGGAAGATTATGAGGCGGTCAAGACAGCAGCCGGGAGAACCTTCTACCTAGGAAAGGGACTATCTAATCAGGAACGGAAGCAATACTTGGATTTCCTCACTGAATATGATGATATATTTGCATGGCTCCCAGCGGATTTAGTCGGTATACCAACAGAACTTAGGGGAACACCACATTGATTTAGTAGAAGGGGTAGTTCCAGTCCGTCAAAGGCAGTACCGACTTAACCCAAAATACTCTGTGATGGTAAAAGAGTAACTCGACAAGCTCCTGGAGGCCGGATTCATCTACCCAGTGAATCACTCGGAATGGGTATCGCCTATCGTCATAGTCCCTAAGAAGACAGGACCAGACGGCAAGGTTAAGATACGGGTATGTCAAGATTTCAGGAAGCTCAATGCCGCCACCAAGAAAGATCATTTTTCATTGCCTTTTATAGATCTTGTGCTAGACCACGTGGCAGGACAGGAATGCTTTAGCTTTCTTGATGGGTTTTCCGGATATAACCAAGTGTCAATCCGAAAGGAGGATCAGTTGAAAACTACGTTCACTACAGATTGGGGCACCTACGCTTTTAATCGGATGCCGTTTGGACTGTGCAATGTTCCTGGAACGTTTCAACGATTGATGATGGATATATTCCAAGATTTCCTCAAACATTTTTTGGAAGTCTTTATTGATGACTTTGCCGTCTTCAGCCGGTGGGCAGAGCATTTGAATTATCTCCGAAAAACCTTCCAACGATGCGGAGGGCCTCGTTCTTCAACCGTAGGTCCTTGATGTCCTCATCCAAGGAAGGCAGCAATTTACTGGTTCTGACTTTGGTGCGAGTTCACCTACGCACCAATTCGACGTAGGACCCAAGGTGGCGGGGGTCAGCATACTTCGCCACCTTGCGATTGAGATACCTCAACAGAGGTACCACCTGTTTGCACAGTGCCGTTGTCGGCGTGCCTTTCACCGACTGCTCCTCCTCCTTGTCCGAGCCCGATTCGTCTCCCTCATCTTCCGAATCGAGGATTTTGGTTGCCATGGAATTTCCTGGCGATTCACGGGAGTTGGGCTGCGTAGCTTTTGCTGCTGTTGCTACTGCTGCCGCCGCACTGCTCCCTGCCAAAATGTCTAAGGCGGTGGGGGATCATGTCTGCGACAAACTTGCACCGTCCGCCCGATCTGTCGCTACCAAAGCCGCAGCGCCGAAGGCGGCTATGCCGAAGGCACACGTGTCTCCCCCTTCTCTCCGTCGTCTTGCTTCTCACATTGGGCTTCTGCCGACGGCGCTTCCGCCGAAGCCCCTTGGGCCAAAGACCCTTGAGCCGAAGGCGCCTTATCCGCCGACTCCTTCCCACTTTTCCGTTGTGTTTGAGCCGAATGCTCCTGCCTTGAGGGCGAGTCAGCGAACGGTGTTTGCTCGGAGCACCTATCCGCCGCCGGCACGTTTGTCGGTGCCGCGTGTGGTCTCTCCTGGCCCGAAGGCCGTCTTGCTTCCGCCGAAGGCGTCCATGCCTTCGGCGTAGGAAGGTCCGCTGACCTCTCTGCAGTCCGCGCGCTCCTATCCTCCTCCGAGGATGGTGAGTCCTTCCCCTCTGCGGCACGCCCCAGTCTCCGCGCTACTTGCAGGCAACACGAGCCTGCGTGCCTTCTGCTTAGGCCGACTGTAGAGCTCTTGCAGTGGCCGCTTCCGTTTGAGAGCAGCCCAATCGCGGTGTTGGCCCTTCTCTGCTCCTCCTTCCCTTCTTCGCTTCCGCCGCACTCGTGTTGCAAGCGATTCTCCTTCAGCTCTCGATTGGGCTAGTGGCGTGCAGGCAGGAGTCTCGTCTTCGTCGGTGTCAACCTTGACGTCCTTCACGTACCGCCCCGGATTGCTGCGTGATAGCAATGGAAATTGCACTAGCTCGGTCGCGGTGAGATAACCCATCGACCGATAGAAATTGATCAATAAGGGGGAGAGGTGATTGATCGATTCACCCTTCTCCTCAAACGCATGCTGCCTCGTTATCTTCCACAGGATGCGAGCCCAATGAATTGCAGCTCTGGCCAACGCCAGCTCCACGAATGCCACCTGCCAGGAAGTGATGTAAGTGGTCCTGTGCGGCTGCAAGAGCTGGAGAAGTGCTACCGAGACATTTCTGCAGTAGCGATCCTTGTAGTCCCGGGTCTTGTACCCATTCTTGCTGGACTTGCTGCTCTTGAAAAGGGCCGCAAAGTAAATCTCTTCCTCCTTCGTGAACTTGATGCTTTCACTCTCAAATAAGAGATGCCCGTCCTCTCCCGCGCATCTTCCCAACACTTGTTCTGAGTCAGCGATGACCCATCGCTCTACATGCGGTCGAAATCCGCGCGTAGGTTGGTCTCTGCCCTTCTGCCCCTCGCGCACCATGTCTTGGCACACACGAATTCCGTGGCTTTCTTCCTGTAGCTCCTCGCTTCTAATACGCGGACGCGATCTCTCCGTGAACTCTCACTATCAAGCAATTCCCGCGGTCGCGCACTCAGCTCTCGCTCTGACTTGCAATTCTTCGCGCGTCGCCTTCTTCTCTGATTTTTCTCTGCCAATTTGTGTGCGCGCTCAGCTCTCGCGAGAAATCAAAATTGCAATTCAAAGAATGAGTCGCCCGCCTGCGGCTCACAAGATTTCATCTTCGACACTTGGCGTGGGGATCGACTCACTTGATTGCTGTGCCGGCTTGGAGGCGTAACGGCCCCCCTCTCGCACGCTCGGCTTCACGCTCCGCCGTTGTGCGGGCTCACACGCTCGAAAATTGAATTTGATTTCACCCGTCGTCCGTCGACGTAGCCCTCTTCGCGCAGCGCCGAAGGCGTATCGCCAAAGGCGCGGTGACGGAGGCTTTCGCCTCTGGCCGATTCTCAACTTTCTCGATTCCCGCACCGCCGAAGGCATACGGCTGAAGGCGTACATCTATCGCCGAAGGTGTACCCTTGAAGACGTCCGTCGACGTAGGTGCATCGCCAAAGGCGCAGCGCCGAAGGCGTTGACCGTAGTCAACTGTTTTTGTACTTTCTGTTGATCTCTCTAGTCCCCCCGAAGGCGCTTTTGCCGCAGGAGTTCCGTTCCGCCGAAGGCGCACGTGTCCGTACCGCCGAAGGCGTTCGGCCGAAGACGGACCGTACGGAGTCGCTTGCACCAAAGGCGTTGACCTAATCTTGATGCGCTGGTGCCGAAGGCGCTTGTACGAAGGAGTTCACCGCCGAAGGCGTTGACCCTTGGGCCGAAGGTGGCTCGTCCGTCGACGTAGGCGTTCTGCCGAAGGCGCTCCCTCTCTGTAACTTCCGACACTTGTAACTTATTGATCTCTCATCTGTTTCCAGCGTTCTTGGGCTCGTTAGAACGAGCGCGTTGAGCTCTTTCCAACAAGACCTTAAGAAACTCAAAACGTTAAAAATTGAGAGAGTTATGAGGGATTTTCTTAGCGTCAAAGGCGAATTCTCCGGCTTGCGCCAAAGGAGTCTCCTTAGAACCGTTCGTTCGGGCCGGGGCGTCTGTCCCGGACATTGCGCTCAACTCCTGGATTTTACGAGATTCTACAAGACCCGCGATCATCCATTTTCACTCTATTTAAGTGAACCGATTACTATTTACAGTCGCTGCTGCAGTACTGTTTTGCAAAAATATTTTAAGTTCCACACAAAAACAAAAAGTGGGTTACCACAACGAGCGGCAGAGGCTGAAGGCCGCTGAGAAGAAGAAGGGTAAGAGGATGGCGATGCCCCCTAAAAGCTTGGCCGCCATTGTGGCGAAGGTAGACGCGTTAGTAAAAGACTTTGCAGATCTGAAGGTCCACGTGGTAGGGGGTCAGGATCAAAGGAATTCGCCGTTGCAGTTGCGGGCGAACCTTTGGTGTACCACGTGCCGAAAGGCGGGCCACGCAAACACTAAGTGTACGGCCACCCGACCTAGATATCTTGTGAATGCGGTGGAGTGGGTCCAATGTGGCAGCCAACCGGTTATTGCACTGATGCGGTTGAAGAAACTGCCTACGCGGTACAAGAGGCACCGGCTCCTACCGCTATTCCTCTAGCGCACATATCGAGGTACACCCCGAAGGACATGGCAACAACGGTTCCTCAAAGTCGCATGGTTCCTCCAAGCGCTCTTGCAAGACCTCCTCCATGTACTTGTTATAATTGTGGAGGCACGGAACACTATTCCCTCAACTGTCCTCACCCCCAACGACAGATGAGATATGTGCCCTTGTGCGGTAACTGCCGTAAGCCGGGTCATACGGCTGCGGAATGCGATTAGCAGCCAACCCATCGACTGACCATTTGATTTGTAACTCCATCCAACAAGGACGACGTCTAGGTGAACCAGGTTAATGTGAATCCTGAGAAAGTACGCCCGGATGATGCATGGTCGGACAATGAGGTAATGGTGGGAAAGGTGGAAACACGGAGTGCGACTTGTCGCAAGGAGACGGCTCACGAATCCTCTAAGAAGGACAAGAGGTCAGAAGTCGCGGAAGGTCAGAGTAACCAAGGTTACTCTGAAGGAACGTGGAGAAAGGAAGTCGGATCCTTCGGCTCAAAAGTCGCGTGTTCCGGTGGAAGACCACAAGTCTTTGGAGAAGTCGGGATCGAATTTGGACGAAGCCTTGGTGAAGGTTTTTTGGAGAAAGTACGACCCCGATATTAAGGATGAAGTCTAAGACTTGTTGAAGGAAGCCTTACGGGGCAAGTCGTCGATGGAACCAAAATTCTCCAAACCGATTCCTAGTTCGAGCACATGTAATGACAGATAGATACCAGAATGGAGCATAATGATAAAGATCCGATCTCTCAAGGACAGAAACAACACAAAGAGTACCAAGTGTCACATAATTAACGGTCTATTGAGGAGTTTGAATTCTCATACCACTATCACTCCCAGAAGTACTGCAGGTGTTTAACTCAAAGGACATTCAATGCAGAGTACATATCATTTTCATACCACACATCACTCCTAAAACTCTCAAATGTAGCATCACAAGGGTCTACCTTGTCTTAGTATTCATGGGGGAAAATTCCCAAAGAGTACACTTAGGGATCTACACTTAGCTACCAATTGCAAACTTGCTTAAATCCTAACTCTAGCCAATCGCTATTCAGAACATTTGAATTGGGCTACTACCTCGGATGCAGTATCTTCGACAAACCAAAATACCTCTCGCGCGTGACAAAACACTCAACTCACAGACGTGCGGAGTTCAAAACTAAGAGAAACTAAATTCAAGAAAAGACCTCCAAGGCCATACCCTCTTTATTCTTAACTAACTCAAAACTGTCACTAGCTCTGATGGGAGCTCCGAATAGGTCCTACTCCTACAAAGTCAGCGGTTGTCATCTCCTCTAACTTCCAATCTAAACCTAACCTTTGCAAAATGGCCGCTAGCTCTAACTCCAAATTCACCACTGCGTCA